CAAGTACATCTACGTGGGAGTGGCAAATCTACCTGACCATCTCTTGTAGTTTTTGAAGATTGCTTTCAGATCTCCATATACACGCAGCTGAACGCATCCAGATTACCTTCCAGGATACTTAAAGAAGGGAACCATTTTTGAGTTATCCACCAGTGGAGCAACCATGGAGCATAATGTGTAATTCGAAACGTCCTTTGATATTGAACGAGCAGCTTCTCTCAGGATTCTCGTGCTAGCTTAGCAGGAAAGCAAGGCCACCAATAGTTAACAAATGGAACGACGAGGGCAGCTCCAGACAACCTTCAGTTATAGAAAAGTGAAAATTTTAAGAATTTGCTCGTAAGGAACACAAATGAACATCATTTAATGCTTCAATATAGTTGGATATTAGGTAATAGTTTATCATTGAGATTTTGTTATGCAGTCTAGTTTTCAAGCAGGACCCAGCAATTAAATGTACCTGTGTGATTTATGTTGGGTTAAAAGCACTTTTGGTCGCCCAACTCATGACGTAGTTTCACTTTGCTCGCCTAACCTTTTTGCTTCCAACATAAAGTTTAGGCACTCTGTCTCTCTCTATCTTCTGAGTTAATATTATGTAATCCAATATATATTAAAGCAACTTGAAACAATGATGAATTAAGCCTTTGGTAGAGACTGAGCAGAAGCGAAGATTTTCCGAATTTATTAGTCTACCTGTATTTAGGCAGCTATAAACTGTGCATGTTTCCATGGAGATGGCAAATATAGAAAACTTAGGCCCAAGTTGCAAACTGTCAGCTAGTTCCTGAATATCGATTGCTTCACTTTTCACTGAACGTGTGGGATTTGATTCACTTTCTCCATAACCTGCACGATCATAAGAGTTCCTGTAAAGAAGAGACAAAGAGAAGAAATACTATGATAAGCTAAGAAACTTGAAAGTCAACGAGCTGAGCAAGTAAAAAAGAAGATGAAGAAAAATGTGCAATTAAGCTGACAGCAAATGCAATAAACATTTTGTACGGAGAATTTTCATGACATATATCAAGTGGGGATAATCTCTAAGCTTATAACATTATTATGTTCGAGGAACACTGCTTAATATTCGTCAAATGGTGTAGGAAAGTTTAACATAATAGTTTCTAATGATTATTTTCACTGATTCATTGATCCTCTGCATATTTTTTTTTTAAAATAAATTTCGACTGTGGAATAAAAAAAACCAAATTATGTGTTTTCTAGTAGTTTGAAACAAAGGCTGCATATTGCATATGTGGTTTGAGTCCTACATAGGGTACACAAATCGGTTAAACAGGATAAAAAAGTAATGTTTGAAATGAATGGGCAACATCAAGAGAAGAAGCCTCAGCAACAAAAGCCAAAAAATATTCTATTACAATATTCTCATTCCAATGCTGCCAATTTCCTAGGACTTCGCATGGTAATTAGTTGCTTAAAAGTAAGTTCTACTTATCTTTAAGCTTAGCCAAACATGTTAAGGCATTGAAACTTAAGCAAGATAGATTTTTCATACTTCAGAAATTTGTAAATGGAAGCCCTTGGAGTCACCAACTCCAACTCCATGAGAAACAATGATATTGTGTTTTGCAACTTCCTTGGCAATGCCCCTCTCTTTGTAGGCTAAATGCCTTCCGTCGCTTAGTTTGACTCTATTTATGAAGATTTTTGCACATTTAAGCCTTTGATGAAGATAAAATCCAACATGCACATGAGGTGGCATCTTGAGAACTAGATGGATGGAGAATGTGAGATTAAAAAATAAAAAAATAAAGAGTTTGCATTTATGTTTAATATTATTTTTATTGAAGAATGTGTAATTAAAAATAATAGAGCGAAAAATATATTTTAAAAATAATAGAAATTAGCCAACCAGCCAAGGGCTTAAATTAAAAAACGAGTCCCAATGTAACAACCGAGACTTTTAGATGAAATGGTTCAACATGAGTCCTAAAAGTAAATAACGTAATTCATGGTGTGCCGGGGGGGCCAGGCGCCCCTCCAATAGGGGGGCACCATGTGTTCATTATGGACACCATTATGGTGTTCATAATGTACACCAATCACAACCCTAATTGCTCATTTACCTTGCTAGCCTTCTCCTTTCTTCAGTCAAGAGAAGAACACATTCACAAGCAGAAACCTCAATATAAACGACACCATGACATTATTTTCATAAAATTGTTGCATAAGGAAATTAAATATTGAATAACCCTTGCTCTCAAGTTTGAGGGTTTGCGAGGCGGGATAAATTAACCAACTATTGTGACTAAAAACTAGAGAAGTTGAGACACTAAGGATATTCTTCCCATTTTGAATCCATTAGAAGAACTAATTGACAATATTCCATTCAAGTCGGAGACAAAAAAAATTAAAAAGAGAGCCTCTTTGACGTAGGATGATGCAACTACTTTTGCCAAAAGCTATACTTTGTAGGAAAGGCACGATCTAGTCCTATAATCCCACTCAAATCACTATTCATCTAGGCCATTACTTCTAAGTATTCGGCTCCACCCTTTTGTTCAAGTGATGGGTCTACATCATTTATTTCTAATTTTATTTAGAACAACGTCTACTTTGTAAACATTCCAATTTTACCGTCTCCTTCTTCCTCTTCATGTCTTCACGTCACTGTCTTCCTCAACCTCTACCCAACCTCCTGCCCCCTTTCTCCACTCCTCTCCTGCTGTCTGGTAACATAAAATTCGACACGGTTAAATATGAAAATACTAATAAATTCGAGCACTCCTCTTAACAAGATGGAAATAAAAAATTCAATACTATCTAATTCACCAGCCAAAGGCACTAACAATTCCCCAAAAGTTACAAATCAAGATCATCAATTGTAATCTCATGTCATGGCAAGATCAAGAAACCCTGTAAGTCAAAAAGAATCCCATGAAACTAAAAGAGGATAAATTTACAAAGCGAGATAGGACCCTCTTGAACAGAGTGTGATCGAGTTTCCCTTATTCTTCCTAGTGAGATCTAGCTGATGTTGAATATTGTTATTCAAAATCAATAAAATTATGTGAAATGATGTATGGAATAAAAAGTGAAATTGGAAGCCGAAATGTTGGCCTATACGACCGCATAGGCCAGGAGGCTTGCCGTCGCATGGCCATTTGCAAGGCCTTTAGGCCATGCTATTAAATGATTTATGCGGCTGCATAGAACATTTTTGTAGCCGTCAAGTTTGAATTTCTGGTGGCCTTTCAAGTGTTTTTCACCACTTAGTGTAGCATAGATTGATGGCTATATATAGATGGTTGATAATCAATTAATATATATATATATATATATAGAGAGAGAGAGAGAGAGAGAAACATATAGCAACACTTGAGATTAATTCTCATTGCAAAAAGTATTGAAATTCATTTTTCTTCATATTCAAATCCCGATTCTGTGTTCTCAAGTTTTGAAAGATTTCACTAGTGTTTAAGTGTTAAATCATTTTCAAGGTTTGATAAATCATGCAAATCGTTTGTCAAGAATTCCTTTAAACATCAAATTCAATCCAAAAAGATGCAAATATCATTTAAGGACAACAATTACGCGTTTGAGCCTTCATTCTCAAATTTTTTCTTCTTGTTATTTTGTTATTTGTTTTTTTTCCATTCCCTTTGTGCGTATAATTTTCCAACAGCTGATGCGGCCGATATTTTCTTGGTATTATTTTGAGCTATTGCTTAGTAAATTATGGGTTTAATGGGGGTGAAATCGTGGAGAACTTTGCACGCCTAGCAGCAGTGTGAGACATTTCGAATTTGTCACCCCAGAAAAGGACATAATTTTGCACAATAACATGAGTAAAAGACGATAGACTGACATTGAAAATTGAAATCTTCTCCTCATTATTTTTCCGATGTGACGTTGAATCTTCAATCCTGTTTTGCAAATGCACTCACTCTCACCAACGTCATGAGTCTGATACATTGGATTAATGAGGAATCAATTGATTGAGATTTGTTGTCCTCATACTTGCTACAATTTTGATACATCACTATACATGTATAAAATAATAATTTAAAATCATGTCACTTGTATGGCAATATACCGGCACCTTGGTATTTCATAACATTATCCGATTGATAATGTGTTTGAAGTTCTAGTTGTAGATCGTTAAGGGGACATGAAAATGAAGGGAATATTATTAAGACAATAGAATTAAGGTATGTTAGAGTATATTGTTAGAAAAGTGTAATAATATATTGGTTATGTTATGTCCGATTCTATGTATTGAAAAATAATAAAAATAAAGTATTAAATTCCTTGTCAAATTAAAAGTAGACAAAAATAGAGTATGAAACTACTTGTCGTTCCTATACTCTAACAATACAAAAAATCAATTAAACAAGAAAACGAACGAAAATCCACTTCAAAAGTCAAGATCAATTCTTAAAGGCGAAAAAATGATAAAAGTATTAAACACGTCTTAAACAATAAATTCTAGATTGAAAACTAATTCTTAAGAAATTTCATGCAATATTATATAGTAAAAATACATGTCTCATTTATACACAATCAGTAATTATCAAGGATCTTGAATTTTTATGACCAGTTATTTTGAAAACAACGAGAAATTTGAGTTTTTATGAAATATTGAACTAAAAATATATATTTTTTCTATTGAGTTGCAATAAAGCTTTGAATTCATTTAGTAATATAAAATCATTTAGATTTAAATTTTGATTACCCGAGTTTTGCAACAACGGAAAAGGAAGAGCATGAAAATGAAAGTTCGACATAAAATAATTTTGGGCTCTAGTGTTTAAATACCTAATGCATCTTCGTGTAATGTATCTACAAAAAGAGATTATGGAGATTCGAATTTACTATTGATTTTTAAGGCATACCGAGAATCTGTAGTTAAAAAGTAGGAAAAAGTTATAAATTCACATATAAAATTAATTTATTGGCAGAATGTACAGTTAAAAATACGTTTGAGAAAAAATGAGTTTCAAAAATCTGTACCAAACATGGCTTTAATTTCTTGACAATAAGTGAATATTTATAGTAAAATACTTAGCATGCAACGAAAAAGGGTTATTCCTCTATAATACAAGAGTTTACTTATTATTATACAATGACATTAAGTCGTTCATGAACCAGTATAATGTTACAGACCATTGAATTTATGAAGAGATAAGTTCCTTAAAGATGGCTTCACATAAACCTGCTTTGTGGATCAACAGATGCCCAGCATCGGGAACTTCGTGATATTGAATCCAAGGAATTTGCTGGGACAAATATCGGTTCAGCTCGAATGGAATAAACTTGTCATCATATCCTTGCCAAATATGAACAGAGCCCTCATTATTAGGAAAAGGATTGCTTATATCTGAGGGATCGAATTCCCAATTGCTGTAACTAACAATCATGTCACGGTATAAACTCTCGTGAACACCTTGTTGTTGTACCTTTTCCTGAAAGACGAAATGATCATGAATTCTCTTATATAAATTTCAGAACATGTTGGCGTGTTGTACAGAATGTGTCTGAGCAGCATTATGGAAGGGAAAAAAAGTTAACCTTGTCAGTTATATGTCTAATATTGTTCAATACTATGTACCAAACATGTCGTTAGGTAATAAGTTACGGGTCCGTAGAATGTGTGCATAGAAAGAGCATTTGACCAGTAATTTAAACTTTGCCAAACATATGTTAAGCTCAAAAGTTTACTTACAAGTTTTTAAATAAACAACTTTTTATTGATCAAATTTTGGAAATTACTTATTTTTAAGAGTTACTTTACTAATTAGTAAATAACTAATCTAAACATGCTTGAAAATAAACGATTAGCTAAGTGGGAGAAGGTAAATCTACCTGACCATCGCTTGGAGCAGCCGACAACTGCTTTATGATCTCTATATCATGGTGGCTTAATGCGTCCATCTTACCTTCCATGCTACTTAAAGACGGGAACCATTTTTGAGTCATCCACCAGTAGAACAACCAAGGTGCATAATGTGCAATTCGCAATGTTCGCTGGTCTTGAAAGAGCATCTTCTTTAAGGTTTCTTGTGCTAGCTTAGTGGGAAAGCAAGGCCACCAGTAGTTAACAACTGGAACTACGAGGGCAGCTCCCGACAACCTTCAGTCATAGATCTCAAGTAAAACTTTCAAGTATTTGCTCATAAGGAACACAAATGAACATCTTTTCAATCAAGTGTGCCTGTGTGATTTACGTTAAACACTATTAGTCACCCAGCTTATAGTGTTGTTTCACTTTGGTTGTGGAACTTTTTTTGGTTCTAAATCAGCTATTGAACTTCCAATTTTTTTCTTTCAGTTTGAGCACTTTGTCTGCTGAATAAACAGAAACGCTGAAATGTCTAACAAAAGATATCATGTGGCATGGAAAATCCGTCAATGCATTGTTTATACTGTCCAAACGGTAAAAGAATCCGAAGATTTTTCAAAAGCCGACTAGTCCAAAATGCACTAAAGGATTTTCCATGTCATGTGTTAACTTATCCAACAGAAATATATGTAGTGCCTAACTGAAACAAAAATGAATACTCTGCGACTAATTTCGAGCCGTGATGACGCCTTTGGTAGATGGGAAGCAGAAGAGATGAAACCTGGTTATTATATTTTACCTGTGTGGTACATATTTTAGGCAGCCATAAACCGCATATGCTCCCAAGGAGATGCCAATCATAGAAAACTTGGGTCCAAGTTGCAACTTGTCAGCTAGTTCCTGAATATCGATTGCATCACTTTTCACTGAACGTTTAGGATTTGGATCACTTTCTCCATAACCTGCACGATCAAATGACAAGAGATATATCTGGAGCTCCTTCAAGAGTTCCTGGAAAGCAGAAAGGAGAGAAGAAAATTTATGATGAACGGTAAAATCAACGATCTATGCAGTAAAAATAGATAAGAAAAATGCGCTATGCCGTCAACTGCAAGTGCAATAAACATTTTGTACTGGAGAATTTTCCCACAACATATCAAGTGGTGATCATCTCTAAGTTGAAAATTAGTATGTTCTTGGATAACTAACTTATATTCACCCATCCTGGTAGAAACTAGAAAGATCGAAGACAATAATTTCTAAGATTATTAACCTCTGTGGATTTTATTCAAATGAATTTCAGCCATGTAATTAAAACCCCTAATCATGTGTCTTTAGGTTTGACGTCTTACGCAAAGGATAGGAAACAATTACGCCCACTTGGTTTTATAGACATCAAGAAAGCTCAACAACTTGGCATGGAAAATTAGAGTTCGTAATTTTAAAATTTTTGGTTATTTAAGTGATTGTTTACCTCAAGGATATTCCATTAACATCAAGTAGAGCTGGAGAAAATAGCCATATTGCCTTGGAAAATTAGATAAGAGAATTGAAACTTAGGCAAGATAGAATTTTTCATACATCAGAAATAGGTAAATTGAAGTCTTTTGAATCACCAAATCCATGAGAAATAATGATCTTGTACTTTGCTTCTTCCTTGGTGGTGCCCCTCTCTTTGTAGGCCAAATGCCTTCCATCACTTAGTTTGACTCTGGGTGAAGTCACTGGAGGGCCACCTGGAGAACCGCAGACTTTGGGAGGGGGAGGTCTCAGTGCTAGATAAGCATAGCCAGCAAAGCCGGCCAGTACTCCAACTACAATCGGGGCAATCATATCTCTGAACAACAGAAAAAGGTACTGTTTGCTTGATTATGTATAAAATGGAATCATAATTTGGCAGGGATAAATGAAACATTGGTCCCCACACTAGTGCTGGAGTAGCAAGTTGCGCTCAATCTTTCATTACAGTTACACGAGCAGTCCAATAAAGATAGATACAATCAAAATCTTCAGTGACCCTCATGGAACATACATACATCACTTCAAATTTCAAATCCAAGTTGGGAGAAGTTGGATCCATGAGGAAACGTGACGATTTAACATAGATTTCGTCGTTTTGCATCACTGGGGACTCACTGTGCTACAACAATAAAACGTTGATGACCATCTTGCTACTCAAACAACATGATGAGCAACAATTGTCCAAATTTCCCTTATGTGATAACAGGTAAGGCAGTACTCTTCACACATAAATTTTATACAGCAATGTACACAAATACTATCAGAGAGAGTTCTATAGACAGAAATCAGCAGCACAGCGGCTTTGAATCTTGAAAAAAGAAAATAAGCCAAAGCACCTCTTAAAATGCTTCTTTTTAGATATAAAACTACTAGATAGCTTTCCTACACCATATCCACAAAAATTCTGCAACTTTATACCTTGATTAATAATAACATTAAAGCTGGCATTAAATTGACAAGACCCACAAGGAGCCAGTTGTTTCCCTATGCTTTATTTACGTCTAATTTGTTCATATTCCAAGATTACCGTTGTCTTCTTCTTCACGTTCACCGACCCCCTACCCCACCTCCGGCTACCCCGCACCCTTCTCACTCTATCACCTAGTCTGTCATACAAAATTTTAACAATTCACACTTAAAAACCCTTCTAAGGGAAGAATGCCCAAATGGTTATAAATCCACAAGCCTACACAATTAGGTGATTACAAACTACACTACAATTCCTCAAAAGTTAAAATTCAAGATCATCAAATGTAATCACGTATGATATCATGGCAAGATCAAGAAACCTAGAAATCAAAAAGAAACCCATCTAATTAAAAGAGGATAATTTACAGAGAGAGAAAACCCACTTGAAGATAGTTTGATTAAGGTCCCTCTTTGCTTGGGCTTCCTAGGGTGCGCTCTAGCTGATGCAGCAGATAATTTCTTAGGACTATTATTACCACCATTCTGCAATGATTTATATGGGTAATTTTAGAGTAGAAACGTTTGACACGCTTAAAACGCTATATCAGTAGTGTGGGACACTTGGAATTTGGCTGCTATAGAAAATTTGCATTATAACACGAGAGAAGGACGGACTTGGTGAGTAGAACAAATAAACGTTTGAAATTTATTAAAGTTTTCTCCAATATGGACCGACCATATTCTCTTCCCGAGCATGAACAGGTGATATTCACTGATTTAATTGATAATTAAGTTCATGTTTTGTACAAATTCTTTATCATTTTTTTAAAAATTTATTTTAACTAAACATTCTTCGGAAAAAAAATTGCACATAGATCTATAATTTCTTCTTACCTTTTAACCATACACGCTAAAAAAATTAATTACACAATTTAATATTATTATTTTTTTAAAATACATAAAACAAACCATGACATTGACAATCAATCGATCTTTCTTCTTCTTGACACCCGTCCGCATTGACCCACCCCACACCCACCCGTAAAGGTGAAAAGCTTTTGAATTGTGAGTTTAATTTCTTCAATCCCCATTTTTGTGTTTGTTTTTCATCTTCATAGAGTCAATTCGTGTGACCTATAAATATATTTAGTTGATTTTTTTTAAGGAATATTGATGTGAGAATAAATAATTTGACTATAAAGGAGCGAGTCAATCGTCAACCTTTTATTTTATGTTGAAGAATCAATCTCTATTTACAGTGGATCAGTGATCGATGCCTAAATCTCATTCTTAGCCATTACATGTGAACTTTCATGAGTTTAATTTCTTCAATCCCCATTTTTGTGTTTGTTTTTCATCTTCATAGAGTCAATTCGTGTGACCTATAAATATATTTAGTTGAATTTTTTTAAGGAATATTGATGTGAGAATAAATAATTTGACTATAAAGGAGCGAGTCAATCGTCAACCTTTTATTTTATGTTGAAGAATCAATCTCTATTTACAGTGGATCAGTGATCGATGTCTAAATCTCATTCTTAGCCATTACATGTGAACTTTCATGAGACAGTTAATTTAACATATATCAAAGCTTCTTTGTGAAGTAAAAATACTACAAACAATCTGATGACACTAAAAAAAATCATCACAAATTATAGGGTATGGCACACGACATCCAAATCAAAGCTGCAGATCATCACAATATAGTATAACAACTTTGTGTCATTTTCCTATGTATTCACTGGCCAACTAACCTTCTATTGCATTATGCATAAACTTAGTAGTGTCATGCAAGACTCTGATCAAACAAATAAATCACAAACACGTTTTCCATGTATATAATTACCTAGAACAAATTACCAAAAGAATTATGGCGGTAAAGGTAATCTAAAATCCTATTTGTAGTGGCTTATTTTACCTCTCTAAAATGCCACTAGGCCCCCAGCTTGTTTTATAGTAAATTGTTGTCTTTTCACTTTCAACCAAACACAGATTATGTAATCGTGTTGAATATTTTATGAAACTTTAAAACTAGAAACTTTAGAGATTGAAAATCTAAATTCCTTTATTGTTAAGATCATTCATGTCAAATCACCAAGAAAATTAATCATGGGAACATATTTTAATTCTTGGGAATGATTCTTTATTGCTAGATCTTAATTCCGAATCTTGAATCTTGAAAATCAACTGTAATCTCTTCATGCTTGACTTCTTAATCTTTAACCTTGTATTTTGCCTTATTTGATTCTTGAATTCTTGTTCTATAATCTTGATTATTGATCTTGACTGTGGATTTTAGATCTTCCTATTCAATATGCTTTCTCTTATATTCTTGTGTTGATGGAAAAACACAAAGGATGAAAATCTTGTATGAATTATCTTGTCACTACACATATAATTCAACCCACGCTTTGTTTAGATGCCCTAAGTCCAATTATAGAATTTTTTATTAGATTGCTTTAATTTTGAGTTTAACTTTAAGATAGTCTTCATACACAATTAATTACATATATAGGCCCACATAACATATTAATTATTTTCCAACACTTTAATATGCCATAATAAAAAACAGGCAACACGAAACACTTAATGACGGTGCCACTAACTCTATAAATTAGAAGGCTTTCTCGTTACTATTAGATGATTTATTTTGGCATATATATCAATGCTTTTGATTGAAGAAAAGCCGTCACAACAATCTGACCGCACTAAACTTTGTTGCAAAAGAGATATCTAAGGGGGTGTATTCAATTGAGACTTTTGAAAATTTTGATGAACTTTTTTTTAATTGATGGTTTCTACAGATTTCATGATTTTTTTTAAAAAATTTCGTATAGAATTAGTGGAAGTCTTTCAGAAAACATTTATAGACTTTTGTAGAATTTTAAAAAAATTTAAAGTTTTTTATTTGAAATAAAATTCACGTGGATCTGTGGAATTCTCACATACGATATATTGATTCATACAATTCCCCTTCCTATTCCCTTAAAATAAAAAAATAAAAGAATAAAAATTTAAAATCTTAATTAAATATATAGTAATCAATAAAAAAATAAATTTAATAGTCAGTATTATTAATATTATTTACTTTAAAGAATAAATAAAAAATCAATATATTTAAATTTAATTATAAGTTTGTCTATATAAAATTAAAATAGACATTTTTCACCAAAAAAAATGAATGACAAAAGGAAAAACAAAGTTATAAGAATCTAATTTAATTTTTTCTTAGAAAATAGAGATAAATAATAAAAGAGAAAAAGAAAAATAGAAAAAATAAATTTTATTCATAACTCTAATGTTCGTAGAAAGGAAAATGAAAGAGAAATATTTTAAAAACATTAACTTCTTTTTCTTTTTCTTCTTCTTTTTTTTTTTGTGAAAATCTCCCAAAATCTTGTGATTAATGAAAGACAAATTTTAATATTTTATTTAGTACTTTTTGCTTAAAAGTTAGTAATTGGAGACTTTAATAAAAATTTCTAAAAGTCATTAAAATTTGAATATCTCAAGACTTTAGAGATTTGTTTTAATTGAATACACCGTGACTCATAGAGATTTTTTAAAAGTTTATAAAAGTCTTAATTGAATATACCTATATTTTCGGAGAGTCTCAAAAAGTTTACATTGAACATCCTTAAACTTTTTAAATCTTAAAAAATCATTAAAAGTTTTAATTGAATACACCCCACAAATGACAACCTGCAAACGACCGCCGTAGAAATGTAAAGTAAGTCAACTTATTGCCAAAAATTTATTTATAAACACAGTATTCACCACTGCAAAGCTTGAGAGACTTGCCCCTGTTTGGCCCCCATTAAATTTTAATCCGTTACATTCTATTTCTCTCTCTCCTATTTTTAAGCACACAATCTTCCATAAAATAATATTACACGTAAATCAAAAAAAATTCTTCTTTTTCAACCATTCATTTTTCTAAAAAATACTATTTCTACCATTTTCATTTTCAGAAAATGGGGACCAAACGGGGCTAAATAAATCTAGAACTCCTTTCAATGCACTTAATTACTTGAAACACTTATATTAAAAGGATAATTGTAATAGTGTACCTCAAAAGCCCTGTACCACAAAAATCTTTATGGAGCTGTAGAGGTAGCCTCCTACCAACATACATCAAGAAAAACTTCAGTGGGTAACTTATATCCCCTTTTGGAGACATCATCACAAGTCTTCCATTGTACCACTGCATGTAAGGTAACTTCGCTTACATTTATTGTTAGCTTTATTTATGCATTTCATACTATTGTGAATCGGAGGCCATTGTGGAACAATATCATGGAGTTTAATTAGGATTGTTCTTTGCCTTGGTTGATTTTGAAAAATTTTAACAATGTGTTTAAATTTGATGAAAAATACTATTGTGAATCGGAGGCCATTGTGGAACAATATCATGGAGTTTAATTATGATTGTTCTTTGCCTTGGTTGATTTTGGGAAATTTTAACAATGTGCTTAAATTTGATGAAAAATGTAATGGAGCAAACATTACCCTGTATGAGATGAAAGTTGTTGAAAATTGTTGCCTAAATATTGGACTCACGGACATGAGATCTATTGGGTGTTTTTACACTTGGACAAAGATCTCAATTTGGAGCAAACTTGGTTGAGTTATGGTGAATGATGTTTGGGTGCAAGCGGGATTTAATACTCATGCTGATTTTCTACCTTCGGGGTGCCTTTCTGATCACTCATCGTGCATTGTATCACTTTTATGTCCCAGAGAGAAGCAAGAAGAAGCCATTTAGGTTATTTAATATGTGGACTAATCATGATAAATTCCATGATATAGTAAATTGTTGGGAACAAGAAATAAGATGAACGAAGCAATTCATATTTTGTAAGAAGTTGCATAGTCTTAAAGAGGAGCTAAGAAGTTTAATGAGAAGCATTTTGCACACATCTCCACTAGGGCCAAAAAGGCAGCTTTGGCTTTGAAAGAGGCACAATAGGAATTGCATGATGATTTTCTTAATATTGAACTACAAAGTAAGGTGGCAAGCATTAGAAAAGTAGCCATGGATCTTTGTGAAGCAGAATGGAGTTTCTATTACCAACAAGCTAAATGTAAGTACTTAAAGAATAGTGGCTAGTGCACAATGTTCTTTCATTCAGGAGTCAAGTGGAACTCTAAAATGAATTACATTGCAACCGTGCTCAAAGAAAATGGAACATACACCTCTTCATTAGGGAAAGTGGTCAATGTGTTCATTCATTTCTATAGTGACTTACTTGGAAAAAATAGCCCAGGGAAGGCCATAGAAATTGATATCTTGAAGAGTGGCTCAGCGTTATCAGAAAATCATGCTATGGCACTAACACGGGATGTTTTAGAGAAAGAGATCAAAGAAGCATTATTTTTGTATTGGGGATGATAAATCGTTGAGCCTAGATGGATATACATCTTGCTTCTTCAAAAAGTATTGGAACATTGTCGGAAATGAGTTCATGGGAGCAATTAAAGAATTCTTTAATTCTAGTTCCCCCTTAAGCAAACAAATCACATGGTCATTGCTTTGGTTATTAAAGCAAATCATTCTACTTTCATGGGAGATTATACACCAATAACATGTTGCAATATGTTTTATAAGGTCATCACCAAGATCCTTGCTACAAGACGAGGGCCAATTCTTGGAACAATTATTGACCAAGCACAAGCCGCATTTGTAGAGGGAAGAGGCATGATGGCAAGTAAATCCTTTTTCCCCCCCCCCCCCTATTGTTTGTCCTATGCCTTGAATATTTCTAAAGATTGTTGAAGGGTACAATCGAAAATAGTGAGTTCGACTACCATCCTAATTGAGGCCCCTTAAAGATTACACACTTGGGTATCTGTGAATGACTTGATGCTTTTTGCAAGAGGAGATATTATTTCGGTGAGTATCTTGATGGATTGTTTATCAAAGCTTGGAGACACATTGGGATTAAGGATGAATGCTAGCAATCTAGCTTGTATACAGCAGGTATTCATGGGCAAGAATTAGAGGAAATTTTTGGGTTAACAAATATACCCAAGGGATCTATGCCATTTCGCTATTTGGGTATTCTTCTTGTGGCCGAAAAGCTTAAAATCAGCTCCTATGATTCATTCCTTAACAAATTCTCAGCTTATATTAGAGCTTGGAAAAAGTCTTTACTTTCATATACGAGGAGAGCAGAACTTGTTAGAGCCGTCTTATAAGGTGTGGAATGTTTTTGGTTATCCATCTTTCCCATTCTGGCTACAGTTGCTTTAAGGATCAATAGTTTATGTCAAATTTTAATTTGGAGGTTCCAAAAAACTGTTGGTTGTTTGGAAAATTATTTACCTACAAAAAAATGAAGTAGGACTTGGATTTAGAGATATCAAATGTTGAAATGTGGTGTTATTTATTAAAGTCCTTTGAAACATTCATGAGAAAAGGATACTCTTTGGGTTAAATGGGTAAGTCATGTCTACATTTGTGGGAAGGATATATAGGACTACATGCCAAGAAGGATGATTCTCCACTGTTTAAAAAGATGCTGGAAATCAGCATCCAACTTATGGGGCCTAAACATATAGCACGGGCAGCCATGGACAGGCTGCTAAACTGGTTAGCTATGGGTCAGTTTTGGGTTACAGCATCATATGATTTTTTCAAGCTGAATGACTGTGGAGGTTTGGAGGCCTTACATTACTCCTAAACACTCATTTATTTTATGGTTGGGTGCCAAATCTAAGTTACTTGTTATGGACTTATTGACACACCTTAATATTGATGGAACTTGTGTACTCTCTGGGTCACAAGCTGAGATAGCCAAGACAGGACAGCATTTACTTTTCAATTACTCATTCACCTCATGCATTTGGGCGGAGATCCAAGCTTGTTTGGGAATCAAAAGATCAGCGACAATGTTACTTAGTACGTTGAAAGGGATTAAAAATGAAGCTTGGGAAACATGTTGGCAAAGAAAAGTCAAAAGGATTGCACTTGCTAGTACCATCAACCACATATGGACGGCGTGGAATAGAAGAATATTTTAAGATCTTAGAAAAGTCAAGAGGATTGCACTTGCTAGTACCATCTACCACATATGGACGGAGCGGAATAGAAGGATTTTTTAAGATCTTAGACCACACTTGGATAGCATTGCAAGACGGACCAAAGCACATGTAACAAGGTTATATTTTCTTTGTATTCACATGATTTGATTCATTTTGAGTCTTTAGCATTAGGTCCCTAGTTTGAACATCTTTTCAATTTTGTTGTCCACAAATGTTTGGAGAGTGTATACGTCAATTGATCATTGTTTGCGCAATGTACTTGTTTATGAGTTTTGATCAACATAATTTTACATTTACGAATCAAAAATGGAAAGTTGTGGACTCCATCGTCCCGATGTAAAAAGGTTGGGGACATATAATTGATTCTCCTATTATATGACTCAAGACAATTTTGTTTTTCTTCTTGAGTCGAATGTTATGACTATTGAAAAGACATTATTGAAAGGTGAAAACTTGATCCACCTTAATGGTGCGATTGTTGAGGTATTGAAGATAGCCTTTTAATGATAGTTCATTTACTTGGTGGATTGATCGTGATTATTTGGTACAATATATTTTTTGTTATTAATAGAATAAAAAAATTGTTACAAGATGAGAATATGTCTATTGGTGCTACTACTAGTAACTTTAAAGGACTTATTTCATTTTTCGGAGCATATAGAGAAATTGAATTTGAATCTGACAAGAATACTCCTAAAGAAATTGCTATTCAAGTCGAAGTTGAACTTATATTTCATGTACTAACTGTAGAAAGAAGCACTTTTGATCAAAATGTGAATAATCTGATAAAACATGTTGGAATTTTTTTTAGAGTTTAATAATTATTATTTATAGTTGATTAAGCTCGTTCTTCACCAAAAGTAAAGTTTGAACAATTTTGAAAATACGAAAATACTTTTTAAATTTTTGTTTGATTTAAAAAATTGCAAATTGCAGATGATTGTTAGAAGTGTTGAAAAAATTATGACAAGAATTAAAATATTGATAAGCACGAGTTTATTTTTTGAGCTGCAAATTGTTAAAAATTGTTTGCAAGAAGACATCAATAATGTAATTGAACTTTTAAACTATGTAAAAATGACGGTTATATTTCAAATGCATGGATTGCTTATAGAATATTATTGATATATTAGTTACAATTGCATCTGTCAAGACTACCTTCTCAAAGTTGATGTTGAAAATCCTAATTTTTGTCTATAATGTCAAAAAAAAGGTTGAATGAATTAATCATGATGTTTATTGAAAAAAGTTCTAAAACAAATTGATTATAGTAGCATAGTTGTTGATTTCCTATCAAAAAATTATAGAAACAAAAATTTAATCTAGACATTTGAAGCATTAAATATTGTAAGTTTGAATATTTTTTATTTAATAAAAATTATTATTATTTTATTATTTTTAATTATATAATTAGGGGACCGTTTGTAAAATTGGTCTAAGGCCCCTACACGGTTATTATAACTCTAGCTTGTGATGATAATGAAATTTGTGTTGTAAAATAATGAGATAATTATTGATAATTATTTAGTATTATCATGATACATGGATAAGTCTTATCTATAGTTTAGAAAATCTATTTTATTCCAATTGTAACTCTTATTTTGGACCTTATAAATATAGGACATTGATCCATAATAATATACAATTGAGTTTTAACTCTTTATTTCTTCTCTTATTTTCTCTCTTCCCTTTAATTTTATATCACGTTATCAGCACGATAACTTAATTTTTTAAAGTTTGGAGAAGTTAATCAAATGGCAAACATCACAAAACTTAAGTTTGCTGCACTTGATATCTCTGGCAAAAATTATTTATCATGGGTATTTGATGCTGATATCCATCTTGTCTCAAAAGATTTAGGAGAGACAATAAAAGAAGGAAATAAAGAATCCCTACATGATCGTGCAAAAGCACTCATCTTCCTTCGTCATCATCTTTACGATGGACTGAAAATTGAATATCTTACTCAAAAAGATCCACAGGTTCGTTGCAAAAAATTAACTGAAAGATTTGATCATCAAAGGACTATAGTCTTTCCCAAAGCCCGTTATGAATGGATGCACCTTCGTTTGCAAAACTTCAAAACTGTTAGCGAGTACAATTCTGAATTGTTCAGAATATGTTTAAAATTGACATTGTGTGGAGAAAAAAAACTGATGAAGATATGTTGGAGAAAACTTTTTCCACATTTCACACTTCGAATGTGCTTCTGCAGCAGCAATATCACGAGCATGGTTTCAAGAAGTACTCAGAACTTATATCTTGTCTGCTTGTTGCTGAACAGAATAATGAACTGCTGATGAAAAATCAATGGTTACGTCCAATTGGTTCTGTACCATTGCCTAAAACAAATGGTACTGCATTGTCTGAAACAAATGCAATATCAAGAAAAGGACACGGACGTGGACGTGGACGTGGACGTGGATGTGGACATGGATTTGGACGTGGACGCGGATGTGCACGCGGAGTAAACGATGGACGAAATAATCAATAAAGTTATCAACAATAAGGCAACAATTTCAAAAGATACAAAGTAAATGAAAGTAGCACACCTGAAAAGGTACATGAAGAAAGTTGTTTTAGATGTGGAATGAAAGTGCATTGGACACGTACCTGTCGTATGGCAAAATACCTTGTGGATCTCTACCAAAAATCAATTAAGGGAAAGGGAAAAGTGGAGACAATTTTGCTGACTATGATGGTCCAATTGATGTGACTCATTTGAATGTCTCCGATTTCTTTACTGATCCAAATGAAAATATTGACCATTTGATTGGGAGTGGTGTGATGGAAGATATAGATTAGTTTTTTTTTTTTTTTTTTATGTTTCTAGTATTTCCCTTTATTTTAGAAATTTAGTTTAAAATATATTTTTACTTTTCGCAAAAATTTTGAACTTTATTATCTATCGTTAATATCACAGTATTAATTATGCTTATCATTTTGAATTTAAATTCAAGTTTTTTTAAAAAATATATATATCTATTTTGTTATATTGATAGATTCATGATGGATTGTCAAGACGCCTGTTTGATTGATAGTGCAACTACATATACTATTCTTCAAGACAAAAAATATTTTTTGGACTTAACCTTAAAAAAGAATAATGTCAATACAATATCAAGTGCATCGAATATCGTTGAAGGCTATGGAAGTGCTTGTATTATTTTACCAAATAATACAAAATTATATATTAACGATGCACTTTATTCTAGCAAATTCAAAAAAAAATTTGCTTGATTTTAAAGATATTCGTTGCAATGGATATCATGTTGAGACGACACAAAAAAATAATATCGAATATATTTGTATAACTTCTTTTGTATTTGGTCAAAAGTAGATAAAAGAAAAATTTCACGCACTCCCATCTGGCATGTATTATACATTTATAAAAATGGTTAAATCAAATAATGTCACGAACCAGAAGTTTGTTGACCCAAAAAAAATTTTACACTTTGGAATGATCGATTTGGACATCTAGGAGTTATAATGATACATCGAATAATAAATAACTCACATGGACATCCTTTAAAGAACCAGAATATTCTTTTACCTAATGATTATCCATGTGTAGCTTATTCGCAAGGCAAGTTAGTCATTAGACATTCAATTACAAAGGTCAATATTGAATCTCCAACTTTCTTGAAAAAGAATTCATGGAGATATATGTGGTTCAATACACCCACCATGTGGACCATTTCGTTATTTTATGATATTAATTGATTCTTTCACTAGATGGTCACGTGTTTGCCTACTTTCCACTAGGAGTGTAGCCTTTGTTAGACTACTTACTCAAATTATAAAATTACGAGCACAATTTCTCAATTACTTAATTAAAACTATTAACCTTGACAATGCTGATGAATTTAGATCACAAGCATTCGATGATTATTGTATGTCAAACGGGGTTGTAATTGAATATTTAGTTGCACATGTCCATACACAAAAATGATTTGCCAGAGTCGTTTATTAAGCGTCTACAACTTATTGCTAGACCATTACTTATGAAAACAAAACTCCCAACTTCTGTTTGGGGTCATGTCATACTACATGCTACATCATTGGTTCCTATTAGACCAGCTGCCTATTATTAATATTCACCTTTGCAACTAGTATTTGATTATAAACCTGATATTTCTCACCAACGGGTCTTTGGTTGTGCTGTCCAAGTTCCTATTTCACCCCCCACAACATACTAAAATGGATCCTCAATGAAGACTTGAAATTTATGTGGGTTTTGATTCACCATCAATTATTAGGTATCTTAAACCTTTAACGGGTGATTGATTTACTGAACGTTTTGTAGATTGTCATTTTGATGAAATGACTTTCCCAACTTTGGGAGGGGAAAAATTACATCATGAAAAATAAGGTAAAATTTCTTGAAATGAAACAACTCTATCTCATTTTCATCCCCGTAACAATCAATGTAAGCAAAAGGTTGAAAAAATCATTCATTCGCAAAGAGTTGCAAATCAATTACCTGATATATTTGTTGACACAAGAAAGGTGACAAAGTCATATGTTCCATCAGAAAATATTCCAGCAAAAATTGATGTCACTGTAGGACAATTTGCTGTAGCAAATGAATCTCAAATGCACTAGAAGTATGGTCGACCAGTTAGTTCAAAAGACTCTGTACCTCAAAAAGAAAAGTACATGAGAAAAATCAACCAAAAATTTCAGAAAAAGTTACATTAGAAAAGATTGATCAATCAAATATTGAAAATACGGTTCTTGAAAAATCACAAGTGTCCGAAAATAATGAGATTTTAATAAATTATATGTTATCTCATAAATTATGAGAATGAAATAATGTTGTTATAAACTATTTTTGCTTTTGATGTGGCTCTTGATATTATACAGAATGAGGATCCTGAACCACAATCAGTTAAAAACTGTCAAAATAGAAATGATTGGCCAAAATAGAAAGAAGCCATACAGGGGGAATTGAATTCTTTAGAGAAACAAAAAGTGTTTGGATCTATGGTTCGAACACCTAAAAATGTAATCCATGTTGGATACAAATGGGTCTTTGTACGAAAGAGAAATGAAAATAATGAAATCACAAGGTACAAAGCTCGACTTGTAGCTCAAGGTTTCTCACAAAAATCAGGAATTAATTATGATAAAACATATTCTCTCGTAATGGACACAATTACTTTTAGATTTTTAATTAATTTGACCGTATCACAAAAGTTTGATCTGCGCCTTATGGATGTAGTAACTGCATATTTGTATGGTTTACTTGATAGTGACATATATATGAAAGTCCTCGAAGGACTTAAGATACCAAAAACAAACGATACATGCCCGAGAATTATATTCTTAATTAAATTGCAAAGATCATTAGATGGATTAAAACAATTCGGACGCATGTGGTATAATTCTCTTAGCGAATATTTGTTGAATGAGGATCGTCATGCCCATGTGTTTTCATAAGGAAAACAAATAGTGGATTTGCAATTATGACCGTTTATGTTGATGATTTAAATTTAATTGAAACTCCTAAAGAACTCAACAAAATTGCTGACTATTTGAAAAATGAATTTGAGATGAAGGATTTGGGAAAAACCAAAATCTGTCTTGGATTGTAGATTAACATTTCGAAGATGGATTATTTGTTCACCAATCTACATTTACAGAAAAAGTTTTAAAACGTTTTTACATGGATAATGCACATCCATTGGCATCACCTATGGTTGTTCGATCACTTGATGTGAAAAAAAATCTATTTCATCCACTTGAAAATGGAGAAAAAGTTCTTAGTCCTGAAGTACTATATCTTAGTGCAATTGGAGTATTATCTTATCTTACAAATTGCACTCGACCTGACATAACGTTTTTCTATAAATCTCCTTGCAAGATATAGCTCTACACCAACTCAAAGACATTGAAATGGTGTTAAACATATTTTTCGTTACCTAAAGGGTATTATTAATTTGAGATTATTTTATTCTCAAAAGTTAGGATCTGCTTTAGTGAGATATGCAGATGCAGGTTATCTATCTGACCTGCATAAAGTTAAATCACAAACAGGTTATGTGTTTACACGTGAAGGAACGACTATATTATGGAGATCTGTGAAGCAATCTTTAAATGCTCCACCTTCAAATCATTCTAAAGTTATTCTAATCTATGAAGCAGACCAAGAATGTGTATGGTTGAGAAACATGACCCATCATATCCAAGCATCATGCAGATTAATTTCAAGAAATGATAGTCCAACAATTTTGTACGAAGATAATGAATCTTGTATTGCACAACTCAGAGGAGACTATATCAAAGGTGATAGGACAAAACATATTTCTCCAAAATTCTTTCATACACATGAGTTTCAAAAGAATGGCGATATCGATATCCAACAAATTCACTCAAGTGACAATGTGGCCGATTTATTCACAAAAGCACTGTCAATATCTACTTCGAGAAATTAATTCATAAGATTGGAATGCGTCGACTCAAAGATTTTCAGTGATCAATATCAGGGAAAGTAGCTGTACTTTTTTTCCTTAACTTAGGTTTTGTCCCACTGAATTTTTCTAGCAAGGTTTTAGTGAGGCAGCATTTATTTTTAGTACTTAAGAATAACTGTACTCTTTTTCCTTTGTTTGATTTTTTTCCCATTAGATTTTTATCAAACAAGGTTTTAACGAGGCAGATATTGTACAAATAATCATCAAAGGGGGAGTGTTGTAAAATAATGAGATAATTATTGATGATTATTTAGTGCTATCATAATACATGGATAAGTCTTATCTATAGTTTAGAAGATTTATTGTATTCCAATTATAACTCTTATTTTGGATCTTATAAATATAGGACATTGGTTCATAATAATACACAATTGAATTTTAACTCTTTGTTTCTTCTCTTATTTTCTCTCTTTTGTTTAATTTTATAACAAGTTGAGAGTTTTTAAACAGATTATGTAAACAACATGCTCATGATGAATGATGTATTCGTATTTGTACTTGTAAAAAGATGGTAGAGCCTCCACACCAAATTTGGTGCAATTATTTTGTCCAATATATTAAATTCCTTGATCTACAATACAACTTGGTCTACTTTACGAGTTGGGGGTACTTTACATAAACGAATGTTCCTGTGATATTTGTCAGAATAGGATAGAACACCTTGATAGAGTTAGTACAATTGTATTAACCTATATTCAAAATCTTTGATTTTTTAAAGCGTCTACTTTACGTTGTGGATTATTTGCCAAGTCAAACAAATGAGTTTGTATCGAGATATGGAGAGTTTTCTCAACGTAAAATGTCTTGTTGCATTTATTTAAACTATGTCCTCGTGTGTACGACATTTACATAGCCTTACTTAAAGCTTCAAGTACAATAATATGTTGGCTTGTTTTGATATAGTACTGAGTTTAGAACCAACACTTAGTTCAAATTATAGTTATAAAGGTAAGGTTCTTGATATTCGTTGGAATTTAGAGTTGATAGCATGCCATTCTTCCACATAAAGACGGTGAAATTCATTATAGGTTGAAACGTTCTTAGTAGAATATATTTATATTTGTGGATTTTTGGTCTTAATTTATTACTAAACAACTAACTATGAATCATCACTAGATAATTGATTTGTCTGTTAGCTCCTAATGATCTAGCCGTGACCACGTTCATCTTTATAAAGAGAACAAAATAGTATTAGTAGATAAATTCGAAGGAAAATAAGATGATAAATTATAAGAGACAAGACAATGCCCCCTGTTTGGTATAAAACTCTTTAAAACTCATTTTTTTTTTAAAATTTATTTTCAATCACACATTTCCTAATAAGATAATTTTTTACGTTAACCCATAATTTATTCCATTTTTTATCCATACATTATTAAAAAAAAATCAATTTTCAGAAAATCTATAATATTATTATTAAAAAAAATCTACATTAAACATGCTCTATACAAAACGAATTATTTTTCTTCTTCTTACGTGTAAATATTTTTAGGCTTCCAATCCATACATGTTTCAAGATTTTCAATATTTTCCAATTTTTTAGAACTCGAATAGCCTTGTCTATGGATAAAAATCTCAAAGCGAATTCTAACAAAGTAACCTCAATGTTGCGCACTATGTATTTGTGTGCAAATAATGCATTTCAAGACTAGGGTCTCGAAAGCACAAACATTTAATCATGACTTCCAACATAATGATAAAGAAAGCGAACTTATGAAACTGACTAAAATTTCCTTAAAATCACTTATAAATAGATCATTGTACAACAAAGAAAGAGGTTACGAGTTTCAATGTAAAAATATTGACAGTTAGGCCTTGTTTGATTGTACCAAGTTTTCCTTAGAAAATGGAAAATCAATTCCATTTTTCATCTTTCAGGGTGTTTGATATGCCATTTTTTTTCAAGGAATTTGCTTTCTTGTTTTTCTCTGGAACTAGCAATTTTCCATGTTTTCATGGAATTCAAATTCTCACCATGGTGAGAATTCGAATTCCAGCCACTATAGCTATATTTTATTTTTTTCGATTTTTTTTATGGTAATGGAAACAAATTTTAAAAATTAATCAAAAAACATATTTTCCTTTAATTGACAATTTTCATGTAAAACAAAGCCAAACAAACACAAAAAGATAGATGAATTTTTTGAAATTTTTTTATTTTTGCAATGGAGATAAATTTCATTCTCAATATTAGTAAAATTTATTTCTTTAATTGACAATTTTTATGCAAAACAAAACTAAACGAACCCCAAAAGATACTTTTATTTCAACATTTTTCATATGAAAAATTATATCAATCAAACACAATTAATTTACAATTCCTAGGAAAATAATTTCTAGGCAATTCAATTCCTTGAAATTTATTTTCAATTTTATTTTTACAATCAAACGGACCCTTAGATAACATCTCTCACGAAAAAAAGGGCCCCAGATTGAAAGAATATCTAAGATTCAAGGCCTCGGAGTTGAAAGAATATCTAGCGTCAATAAATATCACTTACTAAATGAACAATCGAATTAATAATCTCTTTCTCCCAAATAGAAAATTGGCTTTAAAAATTCTGAAAGAAGAAAAATCCTATCGAAATCGAGATAGAAAATTATACCGTTTAACTTTAAACAATACTATCCATTTTTTAGGTCAAATCATTTTTACCAAGTTTTGCTAGGGAAACGGGGCCAATCTTCATGAAGCCATTGAACTTTAAGGCGGAAGTAATTGTAGACGACGAGTATTTTGGCCATGGACTTTTCTAAATGTATATAATTTTTGTACATCAAAATGTTCATGCCTCTCACATGGAATAACAGGTGAGGACAAAAATTATGTACATCTAGAATTTTTCTTTGGCCAATAGGGGCTTTACTCTTGGCAATTTTAGGGTCTAATTTACGCATATAATCCCCAATATATCAATTCAACTTCAGCCCTTAATAATTCCAAAATAAGAATATCGAAACCCGGAATTTCTTATTGAAAAACAACCCAAATTCTCGATCTATCAAACCCACATCTGAAGAAATTAAAAAACGAGAAATTTTTACACAAATATATATATATATATATATATAAAATTGTGTGCATATTTTTTTTGTTTATGATTTAACATGTATAGTAATTTCAAGGAGCAAGCAACTGAGTATGTGCGGCAGGCAGTGGCGGAGGACAATGCGGGGAACTATGCCAAGGCCTTTCCTTTGTATATGAACGCTTTGGAGTATTTTAAGACCCATTTGAAGTACGAAAAGAACCCAAAAATCAAGGAGGCGATCACTCAGAAGTTTACGGAGTACTTGCGCCGGGCGGAGGAGATCCGGGTCGTGTTGGATGAAGGTGGCTCAGGGCCGGCGTCTATTGGGGATGCGGCTGTGGCTACTCGGCCCAAGACAAAACCCAAGGATGGGAACGATGGGGAGGATGCTGATAAGGAGAAGTTGAGGTCTGGGTTGAATTCAGCTATTATCAGGGAGAAGCCTAATGTTAAGTGGAACGATGTTGCGGGATTGGAAAGTGCAAAGCAGGCGCTCCAGGAGGCTGTGATCTTGCCTGTCAAGTTCCCACAGTTTTTCACTGGTATTTCACTTTTCTTGGTCAACGGATTTGCTTAATGATTTGTGTGCATGTGCTGTAGCGTGTGTGTGTAATTGAAGTTTTTAATTATATTGTTGTTATTCAATTAAAGGTTTGATTATATGGATGAGCTTGTTGGGAATGATTATATGGTTGAGATTGGTGGTAATATGGATTCTACTTAAATTAGTTGAACAAATAGTATTGCGCGAAGTGGAGGAGGAGGAATAGTGATTAGACTAGTTATAAATGTCATATCTCTGGATTTAACGGTGAAATTAAGAGCTAGAATTTACTTAAGTTTATTTTATTTTGTGGTATCCCGTGTTAGCAAGAGGAATTTGGCTCAATCTATTGTTTGTATTGCAAATTGGATTATAAATTCTTGCATTACTTCTTTTTCCATCCACAAAATGAAATGAAATTTTACCGACTGGGAGAGGATGGAGAATGTGACGGCATTAACCTGCATCTGACAAATCTAATAAAGACAAAATGTCCTGGAGAATATCTCCAGTTACTGCTGAGAACTAAGACCAGCACTACTTGTAAAGAGTCGATCTCGGCCTCCTTGATAGAGAGTCCACAATCTCGAGAAAATTGCAACCTAAATCAAAGTGCTTGAGCCTCTCCGGATTGAAGCCACCATGGAGACACCTAGCACTAGCTGCGATAACCGCACCATCCCCACCCCGAATGACAGCTCCCTTGACAGTAAGCCCATCAGCTGACTGCGCCTTATCAATGTTCAGTTTGAGGCTGCCAACTGCCGCTTTTTGCCAAGCTAGTCCCACACGCTGTGCACCCAAATTCGCCTTATCCTCCAGATACTGCACATGGCATTTCGGCCACTGTGTTTCAGCCTCTTGGTTTGCCTTTTTTCTTAGCATGGAAAATTTGGTTTTGTTCATTCCAAATAATCCATCAGATACTACAAATAAGCTCCAGATTTTCTTGGGTACATGGTGAAATATTTTTACGAGTGGATCATCAACTGAGAGGCCCTTACACATGGTTTGATAAGAGACCAAAACCCACCTGTACTCCACACCTCTCTACCGTGTGAACACTGGAAAAAAATGCAAATTTGTCTCCACCTGATGGCATCTACTGCACCTCAGGATTACACAAATTCTCCTCCTGAATAGGTTTTCAGGTTTTTGAGCGAGAGTAATGAGTTCCAAAAGAGCTCCAACCAAAATAGTATCTTAGGTGGCTACCTCAACCCCCACTATGCATTCCACCATGAGTGCAAGACGTCTGAGCTAGTCCCTTTGCCGTCTCCACATCCCCACCACCGATGATAGCCACTTTTGACCGAATATGCTCCTTTCTTTTCACACTGACAAATAACATGGCGTCTTCTACCTACAGTATTGAGAGTGATAAAAAGAATTACCAGAGTGTCGATAGGCACTTACTATTTCTTAGACATTTGATGCTCTTCTCCTTTCTATCGCCACACCTGCTGCTTCAGACTGCACAGGAGAATTTGTTAAATAGTTTAGTCGCAAGCAAGATTTTCATCTTGCGGTTGAGATCCATTGAGCCGTGCTAAGGTGGAAGGATATGAGGCATCAACACTCATTTCTTTTAGCTAGTCCTAGATGATTTATAGCTTTAAGACTCAGCCAGAGGCTGCTTCCTATAGTTCTACTGATAAGTGCATTGGCTACCATATCAATATTCGCTTAAGCGGCACACTTGTATGATTTGTTAGTGAAATCCAGCTAGATTGCTATATACCCAGGACATTAAGTCTGTTATGGTGTCCATGGGTGAGATGCGATTTGGGGAAAAGATATTTATGAGAGCAGTTAGGTAGCACGAACTCCTTCTGTAGATGATTTTTACCAGACAGGAGAGGTTCTCTTCCTTCTGCCCACAGCCCCTTAAAGCCCAAACTGGTAGATGCTTACTGATTTGTTCAAGTTAGTACCTTGGTGGTTCAATAAGACTTTCAAATCTTACCTTTTATTGCTGGTCCATACCCTTCTCTGAGCACTACAGTACCTTGGTGGTTCAATAAGACTTTTAAATCTTACCTTTGATTGCTGGTCCATACCCTTCTCTGAGCACTACTGGAAAAATGCCATATCAAGTTCTATAATGTTTCATGGCTGGCTAATTCTCTCTGGATGAGAAACCAAAGGGTTCCCTATATTTAGATGATTAAAAGCAAAGCACAACTGATTAGTCTGAGCCTGGGGAACTGAGGTGGATTTCTCAGCTTGTGGTGCATATGAATGAGTGTATTTAGACAGGAAAACCTTATAAAGAAACTTTGTTTGACTGTGGTTGTGTAGTCAAACTAGTTCTTCTAGTGTTTATAGGATATCTGTCTTCAATTGTGTGAGTAAAGTTTCTGAAAAAAGCTTTAGTAGGTGTATAGAAAATAGAAAATACTCAAAAGAAGGGGAAAAAACTTGGTGAGTGGGAGGAAATTTTTTGGGAGAAACTGGGTTCAGAATTAGCTTCTCAATGAAGATTGAAACACCTTTAATAATAAGGAATTGAATTTCCAATTACATCAATCAAATTTTTATAACTAGAATTTGAGCAAACCTGCCCTTTTAAGCACCCTGCAGTGAATTTCTCCTAACATCATGTAGATAGTTTAGTGGAGTGGATGATTTCCCTAGCCAACCCCCCACCCCCTCACCCTCACCCTCACCCTCACCCTCATTTCTTATTTCACGTGCTTGTAGGCAAGAGGCGCCCATGGAGGGCTTTCCTTTTGTATGGTCCACCTGGAACAGGGAAGTCATATTTAGCTAAGGCTGTTGCTACAGAAGCAGACTCAACCTTTTTCAGGTAACTTGTCTATCCTCAAATACACACTTATTTTATCTGTATAATACTGAATATGTGATGATGCCCTTGCATCTTGTATGTATAACTAGTTCATGTGAATCTATCATGTTCATGTCGTCACAAAATCGTAAGAGTTTTAAAAAATATTTTCTTTCCATCTGTTGAATATGTTTTCATGATCAAGGGAGCATTATTCTCCATATGCTGCATCTCTGCTTCATCTTAACTTTGTTTTCAAATGATTTATTTTGATATTGTTGGCATTTTAAGAACATGCGATTATATATTGTTTAATGCAATATCAATATACAAGTTCTCCCTTTTATTTGTCGATTTTATTAAGCAAGGAGCTTCCAACTGAAATGAGCAAATTGATTGTATTCTGCAAGTCTTGTGATGGCTGGCTTATTTCTAAATGTCAAGTGCATGTTGAGGGCATAATACTAACTATCTAGGTTCGTTGAAAATGGTAATAGACTCTCGCTGCTATGTTTTTGCTTTCAAATATAAATCCCCGCCCTGAAGAATGGTTCTGGCAATCAACTTTCATTTCTTCAATATTTTTTCATTCCCATTATTTTGTCATGTTTGATGTTTGTATGGTTACTGTGTTGGAGGATTGCCAAAGAGATTCAGTATCAAGAAGGAATGTTAATTTGGGACTGAGGGCAGAAAATAATCGATTAATCTTGAGCCCTCACCTGCATGTGCATCAACCAGATTGATGTAAAATTTTGGAGTAGATTATGGGGGGTGTATTGAGGACTGTAACACATGAATGTGGAGCTAAGTTCTTCAGCTATTCTTGTGGTTTTACAAGGGCTTTTGTAGGCTGGGTTTTTGAAAGATGTTGACTTGTGAAAGAGTTTTGATGGACAATAATTGTAGAAGGCCTTAGATTGAGATTCCTTCCTCATGCATGTCATGATGGGTATGATGGAGCACAGTTTCACTATGGAGTCTTATGGATACTCAACCAATACCTGAGTTTATTTAGAAAGACTTGGGTAATGGCAGTTTGAACAGAATACTTCTTATGTATAAGCCAAACTGATGTCTGTTATTGTCTGATGCACTGGCTTCTTGTCTCTCTTCGGTGTGAGGAAGGGTCAAAGTTTAGCTTGTGCTATAGCTTCTTGAGTCTTCAATTAATTGCCCTCTGCTGTTTTCTAAACTTCCATTATGAAATTTGACATCATGCATGACAGGAACTAAAAGATAACAGTACGGGTGCGTTTGATTGTCAATATTGTTTTTTCACCCAAATTCCTACTTTTGTATTGTTTGATTGACCTTTTTTTCATGAAAAACATTTTCCTATTTTTGGTCACGTGATCATATTTTCTTTAAAATTAAGGAAAATATTCTCTTTATAGGGAGTAAGCTTTTATTTTCCAGGATTTCAATCTCTCTCTCTCTCATCTATCCACTGTGTATCATCAATCCACCAATAAAAAATGAACAAGTATAATATTTTCTAATTTGAAAATTAAATCAATCAAACATATTTAATTGACTATTTCCATGCTAATAAGTTCTAGACCATTCAATTGCCTAGAGTTTATTTTCTTTCCATGTTTACAATGGAACGCACCCTAATTGTACATATTTTATTGAATGACATGTCTGAAACTGGCATTGGGAGTGAGATCCGGGGGGGGGCAACTTAATTGTACTCATTCTCAATTATAACCTCTTCTGGGGTGCTATTACTTTTCAACAAGTTCAAGGGCATGAACAGAGGGACTGTAAGATTGTTCAGTCAGGAAAAATGCCTAATTGGAGCTCTCATTCAAAGATTCTATTTTATTGCGAAGCATAGCCACTGTTTACTTGGCAAATATGTTGTCAGGTGCTCGCAACAATAAGATGCAGTTCATCATGCTCTTTTTGTTCTTTCATATGCTATTTTCTATTTCAGATGTTTCAATGATCGAGAACTCAGGCCATTAAGTTGACAAGTGCCAACTGCTGTTCTTTTGCAGTGTTTCTTCATCAGACTTGGTTTCAAAGTGGATGGGTGAAAGTGAGAAGCTAGTTTCAAATCTCTTCCAAATGGCTCGTGAAAGTTCTCCTTCCATTATATTCATTGATGAAATAGATTCCCTTTGTGGCCAACGTGGAGAAGGAAATGAGAGTGAAGCTTCTAGACGAATCAAAACGGAACTGCTTGTGCAGATGCAGGTAATGTATGCCATGCAATGGAAAAGGATTCTTGTAGCCGACACCAAATTTATTGGAATATGAATTGGATTTTTTTATTGTGGTTGACGTCTCTTGTAATGGCATTCAAATGTTTTGACATTCCTTTTCTCTGGTATTCTGGTTCTTATCTACTCTAAATTTTAGGGGGTCGGCCACAATGATGATAAAGTTCTTGTACTTGCTGCCACGAACACTCCTTATGCTCTTGATCAGGTAACAGCTAATAATACTACTCAGGCACAGTGTGGGACCACAATAAATGTTTAACGAATAAATTTCTTTCTTATAGGCTATCAGGCGACGATTTGATAAACGCATTTACATCCCTCTCCCAGATCTGAAGGCACGACAACACATTTTCAAGGTACGGAACTTGTCTTCAGCCTAATGAACAAAGAAAGAGTTGAATGAAGATTAAAACACGGTCTTGTATAAATTGCAGGTTCATTTAGGAGATACCCCTAACAACTTGACTGAAAGAGACTTTGAAGACCTGGCTCGTAAAACTGAAGGATTCTCTGGTTCAGATATTTCTGTTTGTGTAAGCATGTGGCTGATTTATTGAGTGACTAGTTTTAAATAGAACTCCTTTGGATATTGGGTGCTTGCCCACATTTTTTTCAGCTTATTTGTCGCTGTTTTGAATGTTCTTTTTACGAATTTAACAGGTAAAGGATGTTCTATTTGAGCCTGTACGGAAGACTCAAGATGCGATGTTTTTCATCAAGACTTCCAACGGTTTGTGGATGCCATGTGGACCAAAGCAATCAGGTGCTGTCCAGATATCAATGCAAGAGCTTGCTGATCAAGGACTTGCTTCTCAGGTATTACATTTGATGATTTAACTATTGTTTATGGATTAAACCTGGAGCCCGTTATACTTTTTCTTTAAGAATTATTGTGAGATGCATTGCTACGTTTGTTATGTCCAGACTCTGTATACTGGAAACAACGTGTCCTGTTTTCATCTGAATGGGAAAGCTGGAACAAAACTTAGAACAGCCATAACTTGTGATGTTATATGGCTACTTTTTCTTCAGTAAAAAATGTCCTACGAAATTAACGGTTTACAAAATGAAACTTGACAATTCTCTTGGTTTACAATAGAAAACGAATTTTAGCCCATCTTTAGGGATGTAAACTGGGCAATGCCAGCTGGTGTAGGACCTGAATCTAGGAAATTTAAAGTTTTGTCTCTTCCCTTTTTTGGAATTTGACCCCCCACTCCACCTCGCCCACGTTTCTTTAAAAAAGACAGCAGGACAGGCTTATGCCAATGGCCCAGCTCAAAAGGCGGGCATGTCTTGGCATGACGTGCTGGGCTTTAGCATTCCTGACCCATTTTTACCTGCAAGTATGAGAGAATGAGCTACCTGTCATTATCTTAGCCCAACTGAAACTATTTCTATTGAGTGTTTGGGTACATCTTACTGACTATTGATTAATGCCTTCTGCAGATCATTCCACCTCCCATATTTAAAATGGACTTCGATAAGGTGCTCACAAGACAGAGGCCTACAGTGAGCAAATCTGACCTCAATGTTCATGAGCGATTCACAAAGGAGTTCGGCGAGGAAGGTTGAGATAGTCTCGAGGTGCATAGACTGCTACTACTAATACAATTTCTGGCATTTGTATTTTTATGTATTTTTACCATTTCAAACATAAGCCTCTTCAGGCAGGAAGGTGACGACACGACTGCCATTTTCCCCCATATGTGTCTATACTAATTTGTGTACAAACGTCAAGAATATTGCCCGAAAATGATGTTAATATTTTACGAATGTGCAATTCTGGTTGCAGTTGGATTATATCAAAGATTTATTCCATCGTAACCTCTGAAACCTTTGATTTGTTCACTTTCTAGGGTTACCAACTGCACAAGTTCTTTTCCAATGGAGAAATAGAGTACACCACCTTCCTTATTTCCTCTATGAGGGAGAAAGCATACAGGACCCACTTTCTGTTCGATGTCTCATCAGTACTATGCTGGGAGCAAGGGATAGATAATGCTTGAAGACCCATCCGTAAATGCCCACCCACCAGCACTAATAGCTGATTACTCACCAAGCGATTCATATCCATATTCCGTGTGTTCATAGTGACACAAAATCATAAAGAAGCTAGAATCAATGAAAGACTTCGTAGCTCAGTCAGAGGGGAGTGTATTGTGACTCGTCTCATTGTAGATTGACCTGGCTTCTCATTGGTCTCATTCTTCAAATGTCATATAATGGATCAGGACATGTGTCACCGCTCTTTTTTTCTCAATTTCCATAAATGGGGAGCTGAAGGGCTTCTTCAAAGGAGGCAAACCCAAGGGCTTAGGCAGGCTGCTGCTTCAAATTGTCCCCCTGCTTGTTTGTCATTGATATGGTAAAAGGTTAACATCTCTCCGCCCTTATTAGTTGTAGCGAAGATCAGCCATTGAAATACATTTGCCATGGAGTTGTGGTTAGACACGGGCTTAAAGTATACTCTTTTTTAACCCTGATGGGTTTCACAGTAAAGCATTTGATAGCCCTTCACATGTTTTCTATTTGACTAAGGAGGAGAAGACCAATATCTATCAGATAGGGGAATACCCCGGGAACCAATAAGGCCTCCGGAATTCATGGTTCAAAAGAAAGAGCCTTCTTGACGCTTTAAGGACGGCTTTCCTAGGATCAAGCCTGTTTTGGGCCTGAGTGAAAATCGGGTGAATGTTATTTCTTAACTATGAATGTGTCAACTATTGAGCTTACCAGGCTTCGAGGGGTTGATTAGATCATTCCTCGACTCAACGTATCGTGACATAATAATTCCAAGTCGTCTCAACACAAGACTGAAGGAAAAAGACAAATAATTGAGGTGAATCTAGCTCTCCCTCTAACCATCGATTTGACAATTGAAGACAGATGGTAGCATAGGAGATAGGGCCTGATTGGGTACTTTGCAATCACTGAAATGCTTTCGCAAGTATAAGAAAGAAAATAAATGAAGGAAGAAGGCATTAGCATTAGAAAAACCATACCCTGCCAGATCTACTCGTGTGGCTGGCCTATGACACATACTTTAGGTATGAATGTGTTAAGCATAAAACTAGCCTTGGTGCCTATTACTATGTGTTATTAGCTACTTGCCTTGAGAAATTTTTTTTGGATGCACTCTCGCTTTAAGTTAAGTAGTTGAAGTCAATTGTATTCCCCTCGACGTGAGGCCATCCAAAAGAACGAAGATGAGCTCACCTAGGTGGATCCAAAGTCAGTTTCATTGTTGAAATAGCATCTAGTAGCTCGTTGGCTGGAAACAGTGCCCAATGTTTTCATTTTTATCATCTACTGCTCGAAACCAATCGAATTCAGGGTCTGTCTATCAGATTAGAACTAGCTGCGACAATGGGCATGTGATCCCCTCTCCGAATGAGATGTCTTATACAGAGCAAGCAACCTCCTTTTGCCCTTTCCTTCATGGCTTGGCCCTACTCATTAGGAGGGGGATCCAATGAGAGTGCTATGTCTTACCACTGTTTCTTTCCTCCATCACGCATGAAGATTGTCTTTTTAAGTCTTGCAAAAGAAAGGGCCTGCTGATGTGATATAGCACTTCTTTGAAAACTTTTGAATGTAGCACTTCTTTTGAATGCATTGATAAAAGTTTTTTTGTGGTTTGATGAGACATAATCGCGTGATTTTTCTTGATGGTCAAATGATGACTTATTATGGTCGAGCAATAACTTCTTTTTTCTTTTTTTAACTAAGATTTGTTGTATATTCCATTCCATTTGTATCAATTTCTACAGTTTGGCACTATTTTTTGTCTGTTAGAACAATTGGTCTTATTTTTGTCAGGTTTTAGCCATCCTTTTATGCAATAACAGTAAATGGGGCACAAAAGAATTGGACTTTCCTTTTAGCGTTCTTCGGCCTAACTCAAAGGTTCAACTAGAAGCTTCAAGAATTTTAATGATATAAATAGATAAAGAATTCATTCTCGATGAATTTATGATAAATCATTTGAACTTTTTTTGGTCGTTTCGGTCAATTCATCTGGAATGTGAATTTTATATATAACTTGAAAGGATAATTAACACAAAAGGTTCTCATAATTTGTACTCACTGTACAAATCGTCTTTAACATTTCAAATTTGGTGTTTGCACTCTTATTTTAACATTTTCTTGCAGAGTTGGTCATTTCATCCATTTCGTCTATTCCTTCTGTCAAATATAGATTATTGGTGCAAAACGTCCGTATCATTTGCTTTCATTGCACAAATCGTCCCTATTACTTCAATTTTAACATTTGGGTCCTTGGATCAACCTTTCTTTGGGCAAAAGCACTCTGCCATTTATTTTCTGCATTGTAACATCTCCCAATTAACCTCAGTACCCTTACACCACAACCATCAAAATAATTAGAGAGAGAATTAAAAGTACAAAAAAAAGTAAGAAAAGAATTAAAAATAGAGAAAAAAGTGGTTTTTCTTATCCCATCCAATTTCGCACAATATGTTATAAATTATTTTAAAATGGGACTTGTTTATTTAAAATATTTAAGATTTTGACTGTGATTATTTTTTAACATTTTTTCTTTCTTTTCCATTTATTTATTTAAAGAGGGTTGATTGGTCATTTTACAATGCTTTAATAGAAAAAAAAAATAGACGATAAAGACATTTTGCTTAAGGAATTGTCAATTTGATGGTGCAAAAGTTAAAATTGAAATGATAGGGATGATTTGTGCAATGAAGGCAAACAATAAGGACTTCTTGCGCTGATTACCCATAGTTAACGGAAGAAATTAACGGAATGGGCAAAAATGAGCAATTCCGCAAGAATAAGTTGAAATAAGGTTGCAAATGCCAAATTTGAAATGTTAGGGACGATTTGCATTATAGGTACAAAAGATGAGGACCTTTTGTGCTAATTACCCTAACTTGAAAATATATGTACTATTGACTCGTATTGATCCAATAAGTACCATTAATTCGACAACAAAACTACTTATACATGGTAATGCAAGAGAGGTAGTCAAAATGCTATAGAACTTCGTTAATACTTTTGATATTTTGATAGCTATTCCACCATTGGATCAAGATAAAAATTATGAGCTCGTAGTATTGTCCATTCTTATTTAATACCGTATCTTAAGCATATTTGTTATGCATTAACATGATTTTATTTAATAAAATAACTGCATTAAAAGCGATTATATACCAGAGAATGTCTAATATTCCATAATCCAAATAGAAATAACCTATAATTAGGTGCAAATAGAAGCCGGCTTAAAAATTCCAGCGAGCAACAGTGAATACAACAAACTGATGCTTATGTAGTAATCCGGCTTATCTATCAATATTCAGTACACTAAAACTCAATTTTTATTTTTATTTTATATAAAAACCCAAATCATTTGCAGCTTTCAATATTCCCCCTTTTCATTGATACTTGGAATTCTAGGACACGTGAAATTTGTGATACTTTTTTCTCTAACTTTGTTGTTTGGATTTGCTTTAGTACATGGAATCATCATAAATAAAAAGGTACTGCATGCATGATTCTCTGTAACATTTAGTTCGAGTATAGTATCTTATCTGTAGTCGAGTACAACATCAATACACACACCATGATTTGATCACTACATAAATCTTATCTTATACTTAAGTCGAGTAGAAATTCAGTACGCATACTATAATTTGATACCTATTGATTGATCTCATAATTGGTATGGGATCATATAGCGTTAGAAAGCACTAAAAAGGAGAAAGAAGTTCATTATACTGTTCAATCATGTCTAGTACTATATTAAACATGCATTGATACGAGAATAGAAAAATTATCCTTCAAAATTTAGTAAAATCTCTTATGCATGCTTATGAGTAAAGAGAATAATCTCGATTTTTCACAATCTTGCAGCATTACATAGTCTACATGGGGCTTAACTCCCAACACCCCAACTCAGAATCGACCATTAAGGCTAAATCTGGTTTGAGTAATTGGAAGGTAATAATGCAAGTTTCAGCAATCATATTCTTGTATGTTGTTATTTATAGTGAGTTTGGTAAGTTGTGCACTGCACATTATTGATAACAAAAAGAGGTTTTTGTTTGTTATACTGTCCAATCCTATTTGATCACTATGTCCCAAACGTGTATCTAAAATGCCTTCAAATTTGTTCAGCCATGAAGGAGCACAAAAAGCAGCACTTCACCATTATACAAAAACTTTCAGAAGCTTCTCTGCTATGCTAACACCAGATCAAGCTGCAAAACTTGCAGGTACCCTCTGATAACTTGATGGTCTAACAACAGATGCCAGCATATGTGCAATAAACCCGTGCACGGGAGGAGCTGCGTGTGGTTGAGCTACTAATAAAGATATAAAATATGCCAAAATTAAACTTAACTGGTAAAAAACTAGTAGTCTACTCTAGTTTTGATTGTTTCTATGGTTGCAAAGCACGATTCAGTTCTGTCCGTGTCTCGAAGCAAGACAAACAAGATCCACACGACACACACTCTCATGGGAATTTCTGGGCTTAAACAGCTTGCAACAAAATAATCGACTGTCAATGCACACAACATCCGAAATAATTGTTGGTGTCTAGTAGAAGTTCGATACTTAATATTGTTTGCACCGTCTAATGCTCTGCATCAACCACTATAAAATCACAATACAAATTATCTTACCTCTAGGAATTTGGCCTGAATCGAAGAGCTTCAACGGATACAGATTAGGAGCTGTGCCGCAAAATTCAAGGGGGAATGCTCAACTGGAGAGAATTTTACAATGTCCAACTGCAACTGGTGGACATGACTGCATAACCACGTGGTAAATGATAAGCATACTTCAGAAAAGCTGATATGCTACCGTCTTGAATCCATTTACAGAAAAATTGTGGGAGCCAGATTTTATACAGCCGGATTCGAAGCAGAAAATGGTCCTCTAGAATCATTCGGTTATACATTTTTCCGATCTGCACGAGATCGTGATGGGCACGGAACCCATACTGCCGCCACTATTGCTGGCTCACCGGTCGACAATGTTAGCTTATTTGGAGTAGGGAGAGGCACGGCAAGTGGAGGTGTAGTAAGAGCTCGACTCACAATTTACAATGCTTTCTGGTTCAATCTCCGTCGATATTATATCCATGTCTCTTGGACCGGATCCGCCCCAACCTATCTACTTTGAGGATGCAATTTCAATTGGAAGTTTCCACCCATTTCAAAAGGGAATTGTGGTTTCTACATTTGGTCGGGAACAGCTGTTCTCCTAGGATCCTTACTGTTGCAGCAAGCACCATGGACCGTGAAATTCAGACTAATATCTACCAAGGAAATTCAAAAGTCGTAAAAGTAATTTATCCATAATTACCTACTTTGCTCACCTAATAAAAAACAAAGATTTCTGGGACTGATTTACAGGTCCATATGTTTAGGGCTTCAGTATAAATCCTCTAAAGATGGAGACCTTTTGTAGTTTGATAGCAGGAAGCATGGGTGCAGCTCCCGAAGTTACCTTAAAAATTGTTAGGTATTTTATTTATTTTATCCGAAAATTCTGGAATCACTCTCGGTACATGCATACTCATGGTATATAACTGTCATCATCCCTGCTTAAACTTTTTACATTTTCTTCTTAATAATGTATGAAGTAAGACGTGTCCTTTGGTTCTTTAATAGGACTTTACACACTCACTAATACTACTAATTATCTACTTGTTCTGAATCTTCTACGTACTTTCAATGATTAGAAGCCAATAACTGGTTAAAACAATGCTTCTCCTAATTCTTTTTAACGTATGCATGATTTTTATGAAGTGTAAGAATTCTTGATAACACTCAAAGCTTCATCACAAGACATCCAAATGACACTCAAGCCTCACCTTATGCATGACTTTTATGAAGAGTAACAATTCTTGATAACACTGAAAGCTTCATCACAAGACGTCCAAATGACACTCAAGCCTCACCTCTAGGGCTGTCAATGGATCGGATATGGAGCGGATCTGTCCAAATTCGATCCGATCCGTTAAGAAAAATTATTCGATCCAATTCAATTCGATAATCCAACGGATATTTGATTGTTAAATCCATATCCGATTTGTTATGTTATCGGATATCCGATCCGATTTTTTTCCACCAATTTTTTCAAAAAAATAAAATATTTTAACTATCTTGATGGGCTCACCTAATATATTAGAAGGCCCAAATCAATTTTTTATCCAAGTGATGCTCCTTTAGTTCTTTGTAAAGAAGATTTCTCTTGGAATATTTTAATATTTCCTATGTGGGATACTATATTTTTAAAGGTTACTTCTCTTCTAATGTTTGAGTGGTCTTTCAATGTGGGATACTACTCAATTGTCAATTCTAAGTGTTTACTAGTTTATTTTATTATTTTCACTAAAAATCATAGCCTTAACAAAATTAAAATAAAAAACAATATCAGTTTTAACAAACTAAATTATTTTTGGACATATTAATTATTGGTTTTTGATGTTATAAAACAAATTACTATAGTTATTTTTATCTTATTTTAATCAATAAAAAATTAAACATCTTTGAATATTTCAAGTAAAAATATTATACTATTATCTAATATTCTTTATTATTTGAAAATTATACGTAAAGCATAATATAAGTTTCAAAATGGAAAAAATTATGTTTAATAAATTATGATAGAATATATAAAATATATAATATTATTATAATAAATCAGATTGAATTGTTATCGGATCGGATCGACATATATCCATATTTGCGCCATTTA